TACTGTGTATCTTCGTGAAACTTTGAACTGTTAGAATGAATTAACCCAAAAATAACTACTAGATGTGACCAAATTAATGCTTTTTTGTTTTAAAGATGCTTTATATATTGGAGCTCCATATTAAGGTTTCTTTTTTCTTTTTTTTAAAGAAAGTATTAGTGGGGCTGAGGATTTAGCTCAGCGGCATAAGCACCTGCCTTGCAAGCGCGTGGTTGTGAGTTTGATCCCCGGTACCAATTTTTTAAAAAAGTGTTAGTCAAATAATAAAAGATATTACCTCATACCTCCATCTTGGTCTTTTTTTCCCCCATTACTTAGAGCCAGAACTCAGGGTCTCATGAATATACTCTGAACTACACTCCCAACCCAACATCTTGATGTTTCTCCCTGACTGGAGTGTGTGTGTTTTGCGTATGTGTGTGTGTGTTGTGTGTTAACAGGGATTAAACCATGGCTATGTCCTTAGCTCTTTTTTTTATTTCATTTTAAGACAGTCTTACTAAATTACTAAATTTGCTGCAATCCACTTGCCTCAGCCACTTGAGTGCTAGGACTACCCAGCCTGAGCCTGAATTTATGATCCTCCTGTCTCAGCCTCCCAAAGGTACTGTAGTCACAGGCATGCACCACCACACCTGGCCAAGATGGTGATTTCTAACACTATTTTGCAATAAAAGGAACCAGTCTCCTTGAAGAAAGAGTTGACCTTAGGGATAGGGGAGGAAATCTGAGCTGAAGATTCATGTCAGAAAGGAAAGATGACTAAACAACAAACATACAGGATACAGTGGTCTAGGCTTGTAGTTCTAGCACTCAAGTGGCTGAGCCAAGTAGATTGCAACAAATTTTGGGCTACCCTGGCCAGCCTGGTCTACACAGGAAGATGCTGTCTCAAAAACAAAACAAACAGACAGGACATGGTTGTGAACATCAGTAATCCTAGGACTCGGGAGGCTGAGGCAAGAGGATTACCACAAGACTGAGCCCAGCCTGGGCTATGTAGTAAGGCCCTGTCTAAAAAAAAAAAAAAAAAAAAATGTAACTTCCGACAATGTAAATGTAATAAGATGTATCCTAGACAAGATCCTGGAACACACACAAACACAGAAAAAAATTAGATAAAATTAAGGCATTCTAAAAAAAAAATTAATTAATTCTAGAGGTTCTGACACATTCTAGAGCGAGGCAATGTAGCACATGCCTGTAATCCTAGCACTTAGAAGGTTGAGGCAAGAGGATCACCATGAATTCAAGACCAGCCTGAATTACACAGTGAAAAAGACTAAAAAAATTAAGGCATTCTGAACAAATTGTTGACTTTCGTTAATACTAATGGGTTGATATTGATTCACAGATTGTAATAAACATACCGTACCAGGTAACAGGTTAGTCACAGGGAAAATCGGCTGTGAGGTACACGGTAACTCTCTGTACCTCTTTTGTTGCTGCTGTTTTTTGTTTTGTGTTTCTTGATACAGGCTCTCACTGTGTAGCTCAGGCTGGCTTTGAACTCACTCGGTAGCCCAGGCTGGCTTTCAGCTTATGGTGATTTTCCTGCCTCTGTCCCCAGAGTGCTAGAATTTTAGGCATGTGTCACCATGCACAGTTGTACTACTGTAACACTAAAACTCTTCCAAAAAACACAAAGCATACTACTTTAACAGAAAAAGAAATAGCTGGGAAGCTGAAGTAGAACAATCAAAAGTTTAATTCTGAGGCAGGAGGATTACCATCAGCCTTGGCAACTTACACCCCATGCCAAAATTAACACACACATACACATATATACACACACACATACACACACACAAACATATTTTTAAGTGATATAGCCCTGGCTGGCCTGGAACTTGCCACAGTCCTCTTGCCTTAGCCTCCCAAGTGCTAGGATTACACGTATGTGCCATCACGTCTGATAGGCCTTTTTTTTTTGTTCTTTTTGAGACAGTTTTGCTTTGTAGTCCAGACTGGTCTTGGACTCACTATGCAGCCCAGGCCAACCTTGAACTTGTGGCAATCCTCCTGCCTCAGCTCGTATTATAACTGCTGGTATTATAGGCATGCACAACCACTGGGCTTAAAAATAAAGCAGTTTTGAAGGTAAACACCCCCTAATCCCAGTCCTAGAGGCCAAATCAGGGCCTTGAACATGCCAACTAAGAGGTCTACTACTGAGCTACATCCTTGGCCTTTTTACTTGGGACAAGGTGTCACTAAATTACCCAAGCTATCCTTCAATTTATAATCCTCTAGTCCAAGCACTAGGCAGGCTGAGGCAGGAGGATCACCATGAGATTGAGGCTAGCCTAAGCTACATAGCAAGTTCAAAACCAACCTGAATTACATGGTACACCGTCTCAAGAAACAAAAACAGAAGAAAGTAAGGATAGTCATGGTGAAGTTCTTTAAATTCACCCCAGAATTAATCCCACCTATAAAGGCCATTTACTGCAGCACTACTTACAGCAGTAAGAGATAAGAGACAACCTGGGTTTCCTTCAAAAAAGAGACTAAAATAAATAAATGAGGCTGTCAGTAAGTGTGCATCGCTTGTTCCTCTAATTCATGGATGTATGCATTACACACACCTCTCGGAGGTTAATATAGAAACTGGTAACCTTGCTGGCCTCTGGGGTAGGGACTAGAGGGCCAGGAGAGTTGGAAAGGCTTCATTGTTGAGCCTTTGTACCTCTCTGTTTTGAACAATGACTGTATTTTCTATACTCAAAAACGTTTAACTAGGGCTGGGGATTTAGCTCAGTGGCATAAACACCTGCCTTGTAAAGCAGGCAGTCGTGAGTTCGATCCCCGGTACTGATAAAGAGGAAAAAGACAAAAAAAGAAGCTTAACTGAATGAACAAAACATATCCACCCCATGGGAACTGTCGAGTCAAACAAATGGGACACTGGGTCTAGGACAGCCAGGAGGTGGCCAAGGCTTTGGCTCTGGTCTGCAGCAAGTGACAGGATGGGCCCTGACTCCCAAGACATGCGACATCTTAAGAACTGAGAATGCGCCAGGCGTGGTGGCTCATGCCTGTAATCCCAGCACTCAGGAGGCTGAGGCGGGAGGATCATTGGGAGTTCGAGTCCAGCCTGGGCAACAAAGTGAGCTCAAGGCCAGCCTGAACTGCATAGTGAGACCCTGTCTCAAAAAGACCAAAAAAAAAACACAAAAAACAACTGAGAATGCTTCCTACAGCAAGCCCAGTGGGGTTATGGGTCACATACATAGCTAACTCCAGAGAATCCAAAACTACTGTCCTAGGCCTGTCTCCCCCCAAAAGGACCACAATTCAACCTGCAAACGAGGCAACACGGCATAGGGGTTAAAGGATGAGGATCCTGAGGTCAGCACCCTGAGCTCAACCCTAATCCTGCCATACTCCAGCCAGGACACTTTCAGCAGCTTACACTCTTCTTAGAGCTTCTGTAAAGACCAATGACAGAGCCTACCTGACACAGGTAAGCCTTCCGCACTGAACTATGTATGATTTAAGTAGAGTAACTGGGACCCCGTGGTTAGCCCTCCTGGCTGTTAAAATCTCTGAAGTAGGACTGGAGAAATTCCTAGGAAAACAAGTTGAAGCTCCACCAGGAAAGTGCACTGTGAGAGCGCCTCCTGGTGGCACTGCGTGAAGGGGCAGCCCTGGAATCTCATCCCCAGCACTAACACCTGACCCCAACAGTCACAGAAAAGTCTAGTCCAGGTCCTCAAGGGAATGGGAGAGTATTCCTGTTGTCCCTCACCTAGGAGTCCAGCCCCTCACACCCCACACCCGACACCTGGGGTGCAGCCTGACATGCAGTAGGCTCCTAACAAGACATACTGCAAAACTAAAATCCAGCAGCTAGCAGACTGGGAAGACGGGACGACACCAGTAGTGCATCACATGAATGTGGTTAAGGTCGCTGAGTGGTATACTTGAAAATGGTTCAGATAGCAAGACCCTGTCCAAAAAAAAAAAAAAAAAAAGGTTCCAATGGTATATTTTACATTATTCACATTTTCCACATTAAAAATAAACAAATGGACAAGATCTTGTCTCATCTTCACCAGCTGAATTCTCCTCCAAGCCCCTGGCCCCTGCCCCAGCCTCCCAGACACTCAGGGCTGAAGCTCTGCGGCAGCACGATTCCCTTCCCCTACCCAGCAGCATTCTGCCATGTGGACCCCTCTGAAGCACACTCCTGCCTGCTCTCTCTTTTCTCCACTGTGGCAGCTTCCACCTCTATCCTCCCAGCAACCAGCTGCTCACAATAGCCAGGGCCGTCATACACAGCTGCTCAGATCACCACCCCCCTGCTTCATACCCTCCCGAACCCAGAGCTCTCAGCTGACATCACACTCTTCACTCTGAGTCCCCTCAGCCCAAAGCTCTCAGCTGACATCCACACTCTTTACTCTGAGTCCACTGGCCCCTACCTCATGCCCAGCCTTGCTCATCTTGGGACCTAAGCCCCTCCTGTCACCCTGCCAGAATTCCCTCCTCCTGGGCTGCAAGATGGCAGAGCCACTTCTCATGCTCTGTGCAGATCTAATGCATCCTCTGAAAGGCCTTCCTGCCCCAACTGGGCTGGCCCCGGTCACTCCTATCCCTCAGGTTCTTTGGACATCATGGGACAGCTGTCTCCCTCAGAGCTTGCCATGATGGTAGGTAGGCCCTGGACTGTCCCACCCACCACAGGCTCCTCAGCTCCTGGAACCAGCCACACCTCTAGAAGTCACTCCTCAGTCATGGAGTCACCCACAGGCAGACTGGCAGAAACAGGAATGCATGGGCTAGGGCACAATGACAGAACCACTGCTGCTTGTGGTGAGGAGGGGCCACCCTGAATGGTGACAGTGATCACTGCTGCCCTTGATGTGTGGCCCTCATGTGTGTAGGAGCTTAACCAACTTGAGGACAGGCCCACCATTCCCCAGTGTCCCCTACCCACATCATGCCTGGCACAGAAAGAGACCTGCAGCTTACCCTGAAGGAGGGGAAGGAAACAGTTCGGAAGTCACAAAAATATATTAAAACACATGTTGTGTTGTCTCTCTGAACTGGCCTCCCTTCCCACTGCCCCTTGCCCACCCACCACCACCAACTTTCAGAGAAAAAGATGCCCAGGGCAGGAAAATGAAGGTGCCCCAGCTGCAGCCCCGAACCTGGGGGCCCCTCCAGCCTGGGAGTGGAGGCGGCTAACAGTCTCTACAGGCTCGACGCCACTGCCGACGAGGGGGCCGCTGGGAGGCCGGAGGTGCAGGAGGGTCGGGCAGGACACAGCAGACAGTCAGGCCTTGCCACAGGGACAGAAAACAGAAGAGAAATGAACAGGGTGAAGAGAGCAAAGTGACATTATAGCAGCGGGGGAGGGAAGGAGTGAGGGAAGCTGGGGTGTGGGGAGCCAGGAGCCCCAGGAGACACCCCTCTGGGGGCAGAGGGAGAACACGGAAGCTGCTGTGAGGGAAGGGGTCTGTGGGAGACAGGGCACTGGGCGCTTGGGAGACGGAGAAAGTGGGTCCTGCCAAGGCCACAGCCAGAGAGCAGAGAACAGGGCAGGAGGGCAGGGAAAGTCCCAGAGCAGGCAAGGCCAGGCTGTATCGACCCCCCAGCCCAGGAAAACCAGTGTGAGGCCTGAGGGCTTCGGTCCAGCACCAACACCAGAGGGAGAAAAGCAGTGCCATCCAGAGCTGGCAGGGAGGCCAGCAGCCCACTAGGCAGACTCAGATGGAGCCGGGAGCCTAAGGGGCCACACTCTGCTCTCGAGTGGGCTAGAAGGTCCTTCGGCCCAGTCTTTTGAACACGCTCACCGTGCCTGCATGGTCCATCTGAGCACCAAGGCCCTCACTGGAGCTGCTCCCCCGGGGCCCCACCAGAGTCCTTTTAATGGTGACCTTGACCTCAGCCGAAGACTTACTCTTGGTGCTCGTGACCTGGCTGTCCTGGGCCTCAGGCACAAGGGCAGCCTTGCCCAGTCTCTGGATGATGCTGACTTTGGACAGGGACTCTGGCTTCCTCTCGAGAGTGGGACGGGAGGAAGGGGCAAGGCGCCGCAGGGTTGGGGTGGCAGCTGGTGTGGCTGAGCTTGTGGCCTTAGCTTTGACAGTCAGTGACGGCTGGGGACTGGCCTTCACTGGGCCCCGTCCCAGCTTCTTCAGGACGCCAGCATATTGCAAGACAGAGCTGCTGCTGTCATTGTCACTGTCCCATGCCAGGTCCTCATCCATCTCTGGGGTGGCCCCCAGGCGGCTGAAAACTCCTGTGGGCTATGAAGGTCAGACAGGTCAGGGAGTCATTTAGTCACTCAACACCCTGTCTCCTCTGTGCCTGGATGAAACACCGTCCATGGCATCTTGCCTAGTGCCTGGGGCCTAGACAGTGTGGGCCACGGCAGGAAAAGCTACTCTGCTGTGGATGCAGAGCAAAGCCTCAGGGGGTCACCAGCGGGGAGCGGCACGCAGGGCTGCTGTGGGGACAGGAGTTGGAGGGTTTCAGAACAGAACAGTTAGGAGGCAATCACTCTTTCCAGGCAGGGAGCGTGGCAGCAGAGGCAGACACAGATGGAGTCACCTGACAAGCTGACTCGCTAGGACATGGATGACAGACACCCTGCAATGGGCACCTGAGGAGATGCTTTGGAGCAAGCTGCTGAGGACAGTTTAGGACAGGATGGCTGGGAAGAACCCAGCAGAAAGCAGACTGAGGTCACAGTAGAGATCAGGGAATGGTCAGGGTCAGACAGAAGCCGTTAGTGCAAAGAAGGCAACTGATGCCTGAAAGGTGGGGAGGCTGCTGGGGCACCTGAGGGCAAGAAGTGGAAGTGTCAGGGACAACACCCTCGACAGACAGGAGTTGGGAGACCCGAATCGCCCACTGTTTCCAACTTACCCTGCTCCCTGTGGTTGTGTCGGCCTTGGTCTCGGCGCCAAGGCGGTCAAACACGGATGTCCTGGGCAGACCTGAAAGGAAGTGAGGCCATCAGGGAGCCCTTGCCGAGCAGCTCCTGGGGCTCAGCCTGGGCTGTGCACCCTGCAGACGCCAAGGGAGAGGACAACACCAGTCGGCGCTGCTACTACAGGGACAGCCTGTGCCAAGGCAGGCTTTGCATCTCACTGCTGGCTAACAACCCTCACCCACAGCACCTGGCTAGTGTCACACGTGGCAAAGCTTGACTGACACCCACAATTCCCTGAACCTCAGTACAGGTTTATGAAATGTGCGCGGGTAATGCTTACCGGTTGCTTTAACTTTGGAGGTCATGGGCTCTGAGAGAATCTGACAAATGGTAATGAGTCTTCTCCCTAAATCATAACCTAAATTCTCCACCAGTAGAATGTTCACCTAAATCATGGTGTAAAAGTGCTATCGAAATAAATGACCATTTAAAAAGAATGAACCTAGCCGGGCGTGGTGGCGCACTCCAGTAATCTCAGCACTCGGGAGGCTGAGGCAGGAGGATCCCTGCAAGTTTGAGACCAGCCTGGACTACAAGGTGAGCCCAAGGCCAGCCTGAATTGCATAGCGAGACCCTGTCTCAAAAAGACAAAAAAAAAAAAAAAAAAAAAAAGAATGAACATAGCGGGCTGCGGATTTAGCTCAGCAGCATAAGCGCCTGCCTTGCAAGCAGGCAGCCGTGAGTTCGATCTCTGGTACCAATAAAAAGGAAAAAGACAAAAAAAAAAAAAAAAAGAATGAACATAGCACTCAGGAGGATGACACAGGAGGATCATAAGTTTGAGGCCACCCTGGGCTATATAGTGAGTTCAAAGCCAGCCTGAAATGCACATCAAGATCTTGTCATCCCATCAAGTCACCCAAAAACCTTACATGGAGTCTTGTAAAAAGATCTTAATAAGAAAGCTATAAGACAATACCTATAGGATGATGTTACTTGTGTTGAAATGATTGAAACAGCCATGGGATACAGAAGTGAAGGGAAGCATATGCTGTTACTGCAACACCTGGAAGTTTTTGCAGAACAAATACAATATCCTGCTGTAAGAAGCCCATCCCTCCAACATTATCTAGGTTTAGCCTAAATCTCAACCAGACTCCTCAGACTCACAGCAGCAGAGCTCACTTCCGGGCACCTGCCCCTGCCAGGCACAGTAACTCTTTCACTAAGGCAGGCCAGGCTGTTCCTGACCCCTCACCCTCAGCCCCAGGGCCAGAGCCACAGAGAACCCCAGTCACATGAGCTGCAGGACACAGGGCAGAGGCAGTGTACCGCCCTCCTCTACAGCCACTGTTGCTGCCCCTGGGCCCAAGGCTCCCCAGTCCTCCACTGAATTCTGTTTCCCAGCCACCGCCTACAAGCGTGATCAACAAAGCAGCAGAGTGGAAATGCGGTCTGTCCAGCCCACGGGCCAGTACCTTTGGCTGCTTGCTGCTGCTCCAGGATCTTGCGGGTCCGGGGTGTGGTGCCTTTGGGCATGTTGATGATGTACTTCCCTTCCATCTCGGCAGTGACCCGGCGCCGCTTGGTGGGAACTTCCAGGCTCTCCTCGTCCCTGTGTGTCAGGGCAGCTGCTGGGAAGAAAGGCATGGGGTCAATGCCCTCCCGGATGGAGGGCTCTCCAGGGTGGGGATAGACAGCCCTGAGCTCCGTGTCCCCTTGCCTGCTTCCATCACTGCCCACTGGGCCATTAACTGCGCTCAGAGGTCTGGCTGCGCTGGGACCAGTGAGGGCGCTGGAATCCCCAGGCTTTGTGGCTCATCCTGATCACCCTGGTGATCCCACCAGACCCAGAAGCTGTGGGGTGGAAGGAGGTTCCAGGGTACCATACAGGTGGTGCTTTCACACCTGTGCTCACTGGTGCTGTTTGTTTCTGTTTTGTGCTCACTTCTTTAAAAAAAGGAATCAAGCTGCATGCAGTACTTCCCATCTGGGCCCTGTGCATAAGTGAATTCTACTTCAGTTTATAAAATAGGAACCCCTTCAAATGCGTCAAAGGGTGAAACCTGTCTGGCTGCTGAGGAAGAAGCAGGTTCTTTACCACTGACCCCAGGCAGCAGGCACAGCGCCAGGCACCAGACGGGGCACAGTGCACCTCCACTGCAGAAGCCTGAGCCACTGAGCGGAAGTGTGGCGCGCTCGCGCCTCAGCTTGCCAATCCTGTTTTGTTACCGTCTTCGCAGTTAGGGTATCACTGTCTCATTCTAGACATGCAGAAGTGAGGCCCACAGAAGCGATGAGTCCAAAGCTCGTGGCCTTCAAAGCTCCTTGCAAGGACATGGGAGCAGGCCCCCCAAATACTTTCTGATGAACCATATTCACACGCAGCTCCCCCACCGCCTGCCCGGGTCCTCTCACCAGAGGCCTTGGCACTCCTTGCTGCCATCTTGTTGGACACAGTGACTGAGATCTTGGAGGTACTGGTGTCTGGCCGCCTTGGGGGAGTGCTGGGTGGGGAGTCACGGTTCAGGCTGTTGGTGATCATTCGGGAGGCAGCTGCAGAAAGCAAGGGGAGGGGCCGGTCAGGCAGGCTCTGGGCATAAAGTCTGGTCCATAGTCCTAGGCCAGGGTGGAGAGGGCGAGCACTCGACCGAAGGAGGAAGGGGCAGCCAGTGCCACCCATGTGGCTACACTGCCCTCCTGATGCAGGGAGTGGGCTTCCTCTTCTAGGAACCAGCCCATCACCTGTCACCCTGACCCACACTATGCTTTCTTTTTCTACACAATCCTTAGCACTGCTTGACAGTAAACTGCCTGTGTGTGCTTACTGGTGATATGCCCACAGGAATGCAAGCTCCATGGGGAAGCCAGGTCTGTTTACTGTTCTATCCTTAGTGCCTAAAATTATGACTGCCCCTCCATAGGCCCCCATGAATGTCTACTGAAGCTACCGACATCTCTGATAGGACCCACTGTAAACCAGTCCTGCAGTCGAGGAAACCAGGATCAGGAAGGGGAGCCACTCAGCCAGACCCCTGGGCAAAGTGGGTCCGATTCTGGTTGAACTGGCCAAGACACAGGTGGCCTCTGCCTGGGCATAGGCAGGCATCTCCTGCAAATAAGAGGGAAGGCCGTGGGTGTGCAGGTGGGAGCTGTTAGTATAAGGACTGTGGGCCCAGCTTAGATTGAAAGAGACAGGTCTTTCCTCACACGCCGTTGCCGCTAATAGCAGAGCACAGGCTCTGGAGGACTCCTGAGGAATAATCTTCATGCCACCACTGTTGCCTGCATTGAATGCTGGCTGGCCCAAGGATCCATCTGTGAAAGCCATTTGGCTGTACCACTGTGACCAATCCTCACTCTGTATAACTGCTGTAGTTACTGCAGAAATGAGCCCTGATTTGTTTAGCTTTCCTGCATCCATGCCTTTGGGTCAGCCGTGTCCATATGCACTGTGTCAGTCTCGCCACAACACTTGCTTGGGCAATTAAGTGACAGCAAACACTGCCCACACGGTAGCACACACCTATAATCCCAGCACTCTGGCAGCAGAACTTGGAGACCACACAATAAACAGCAAAGGTTAACTTATGTGCATGTTACATTTTAGAATTTTATTTAAAAAATATTAAAAATTTTGCAAATTCACTTATTCATCAAAATTCGCTTGCAGATGTAGTTCAGTGCAAAGACCCTGAGTTCAACTTCCAGTAGCACACAAAGGAAGGGAGGGAATGAGGGAAGATAAGGCTGGCCCTGAGGCTCAGCAGTAGAACATGTGCTTAGTGCGTACGAGGTCCTGGGTTCACCTTGAACACCACCAAGGATAAACAAAGAAAGAAAACAAAATAAACTTTAGTTCTACACTGGTCAGCTGATGACAGTGCTGTGCCAGAGGCTTGCAGGAACTGAACCCTTTACTTCCCCTAGGCCACTGGTGGTGACCCTGTGGCACCTGTGTTATTTGGGACAAAAAGATGTTAATGTCTGAGTTATTTTTTTTCTAAACTAAAACCTCCGCAATCAAGTTAAATGGCAGTGTTGGCACTTTGCGATGAATGAATGGGTTTTAGGTTGCAGTTTGGGCACTAGTCTCTAAAGGTTCGCCATCACCGCTCCTGTGTTCACTAGTTCACAAATGAAGTGACTGTATAACCATGAATGAGAGTGGCCTGAAAGAGGAGCCCTGACTACCCAGAGCCTCACATGGCTTTGCCTCTATCTCTGCAAACGACAGGAGGAAGAGATGCCCCCTTTAGTGACAGTATAGGGAAAGGAAAAGAGCCCTGAAGGGACAGGACTCACCGCTAGAGGTGCCACGACGTAGCTCAGCTGGAAGGGGGCTGGGGCTGCAGGGGACCGACTGAGTGGCAGCTTTGCACATATCCTATAAAAAAAAAACAGGCACCTGGATTAGCACCGCAGAGCCAGGGACTGGAGATATGAGCCACATCCTAAGGACCAGAGCATGCCTGCTATAGAAAAGGTGAAAACATTTTGCATCTGACCAGGAGAAAGTGTCACACACACCTGCACTGGGTACCATGCCACAAAATATACAACCAGTGTTCTTTAGAACTGTCAAGATTGGGCAGGGGTGTGGCACAGTGGTAGAGCACTTGCCCAGCACAGCCCTAGCTCCTGGGGTAGAGGATCCTAGAGAAAAATGACAATTATTGTGAGGAAGATGAGAGCTCAGGATAATCACAGTAACTAGAGTCTTTTCCAGGCCCTACATTAGGAAGCATGCACTGTTCTGTCATATCCTTCAAGCTGTTTGCCACCTGCTTTCCACAGGCAGAGAAATAAGGCTCAGAGAGGTTAGACAACAGGCTCACTGTCACACAGCAAAGGGCTGAACGAGCCTCAGAACTCAAGCTCACCTGGTGTCAGCTGCCAGGCCTCGTGCTGGCTTTACAACTGCTCCCACTAAACTAGGGACACAGAGTATGCACAGAGCACTCACCTGGCGGTGCACCACCTTGGCGTGCTTGAGGATGGCGATGATGTCACCCACCACGGTCACGCCCAGCTCGTTCATGATTTCCTTGTTGAGATCTAGCAGCATGCTCTTCTGGATCCTGCAGGGGATGGGGAGCAGTGAGGCCCCAAGTGGGCCCCGGCAGCAAGGCAGCCAGCTCCCCCAGCCCCCAGGTTCAGCCAGGCACTGCAGCCACCTCACCTATTATCCACAAACATCACAGCATAGTTTACAGCAGGTCCCGGGGGGATGCCGGCTTCCTTGAAGAACTGGATCCACTCAGAGGTGGCTGGGGTTAAACAGGGTTCATTACTTATGTCAGTCTCTTTAGAGAACAGAGCAGCAGTGGCTCCATGAATTACATGCCCACGGCGCAGGGGGCCCTATGCTGAGTGCTGTGTACAGAGGGGACGAGAAATTACAACACAATGAGACTCCCTGATCTGCTAGGGAGGAAACTGAGGCAGGGAGGAGTTAGCACAACGTTAATGAGGTGAGTCCCCAACCCCGGATCGCCTTAACTAGCTGCCTGTGTCCATGCATCTCTGGCCTGCCCTGGAGCTCTCATGTTACTCCAAGCACCTGACCAACGACATGTGAAGAACCTGAGACTCCCTACCTTAGGCTCCCCACCAAGGAGCCTAAACCCAGAAGGAGGAGCACATAGCAGTAGTACTCTCTTCTGCTACAGGGGCAGCCATGCCTCAGAGAGAGGGAGGAAAGGTACTAGACCAAGCTTTGGGCCTGGGTTCAAACCCCAGCTCTGCCACCTCTGATTGAGGGGCCAAATTAAGGCTCAGTGTCTTGGTTTCCTCATTTGCAGATGTGGGATCTTACTATACATCTGACTCAGCACCAATCAGGTCCTGTTCCAGACACTGAGGGTACCACCGTAGAGCATAAGATGAAGTCTGATCTCATACAGGTGATGGCTTCATGTTAACAGTACCAATACCTTTGGGCCACTGCACAGACTCAGTGAGAAAACCCACAGGAAGGGCTTTGAATGGGGCCTGGCTGAGAAGATGTCTTCCATCCACATCAGCTATTACTGTCATCACTACGCTGTCACTCAGCAGAGCTGGACGGGCACGGCTCAGTGGTGCTGCATATGCTCAGCACACTGGAGGTTCTGGGTGGGACACTCCACACCACCACCACCAAGGTGCAAAGCCGTGGCAGACCCACTGTGAGGTGTCACTGCTCCTGTACTTCCTCCCTGGCCCTTCAGCTGCCACCCTCACTGTCCCAGATTTGTCAGACCAGGTGTCAGATAGGAGCTGTGATTCCAAATAGAGCATTCTCTTTCTCACATTTTAACGTCTCTGAGGGCCATGGCTTAATTGGCAACTTCTTTTGCCCTGCTCATGGTACCCGACAGTACGCTTACCAATCTGTGCCATTTCAGAACAGAAGAAATCTGGCAATACTTTGCCAATTTTCCTCTTAAGATAACTGAGGCTCCAAATTGAGAAACAGATTGACTCGGGATGTGACATTTTACAGGGGGCACACAGGGCTCGGGTACAAGCCCATGGGCCACAGCTCTCCCAAGAAAGCTCTGCCCAGCCAGCAGCCTGAGCCTTGGGACTGCAGATAAGATACTCATGCCCTCTGTAGCTCCTCACCCCTCTCCAGAAAAGCAGGGGGTCATTCCCGTGCTTTACCCAGGCACTGCCCACCTGCCAAGCTACAGGGCCCAGGGTTTCATTACCAAGAGCAAGCACCTCTAAGTACCAAAGACCACCACAGAGCCATTCTATGTCTACGTAATCCGCTGAACACGCAAATCTAGAGGCAAAAAGTTGCTAGGGGTCAGGAGGAAAGAGAGAGAAACCTCAATGGGGTTGGAGCTCTTCATGGAGAGTGATAAGAGTTTGGAAATTGATTGTGAAGATGGTTGGACAACTGTGAATAGAGAATATAAAGACCATAGAATTGTACGGTTGAAACTGGTAAAATATACGTCTGTGAACTGTACCTTTAGTAAGCTGTGATTAAACAGAGGAAAAAGTACTACATCGGCTCTCAAGAGTACAGAAACCCCTATGTCCAAGGGCCTTGGAAAGGCCAGCGTTCATCCTTCGGGTGTTACTAAGGAAGAAAAAGGCCTGGCTAATTAAACTGTCACAAGTCACTGTGTGTTAAAATGTAGCCCCACTTCAGAAATGTTACACCGGGCAAGGTTAGCCAGGGGTTGCTGCATATACCAGCAGACACACAGAAAAGTCTAAACTGATAACAACAGGCCTCTGGGAGGCTGAGGCAGGAGAACTGCAAGTTTGAGTCCAGCCTGGGCAATTTAGTTACTCAACAAGATCCCATCTCAAAAAAGAAAGTGGGGTGGGGGGCTGCAGTGTAGCTTAGTGAGGAAGTCCTGTGTTCAATCCTTACTACAGGGGGAAAAAATGTAAAAGTGGTCACCGCAGGGTGTCTATCAGAGCCTCACAGAACAATGCAACTCCCCCAGACAATAGCACCCATAAACAATGGTGTCACTCATACAGTGAAGTACTGTGTGGCAGTCAAAAGACAGGAGCTGTTTGGTCACAGAGATACCCCTCAAGAATCCAGATGCACAAAAGAAGCCAGCCACAAAAGGACACATGGCAAGATAAAAGAAAAAGCAAGCCAAAAAAAAAAAAAAAGACACATGGCAAGATTTTGTTCCCGTAAGTTCAAAATCCAAGTCTATAGAATGCACCTGTGCCCAATGACCACGAGGAGAGGTAAAGAAAGGTTCATGAAGATGAGAGCGTGGTTTACTTTTATTTGGCAGGTAGTGACTAGGGTAGGACCCTCAGGTCTGGCAATACTGCAGCTCGTGCCTCATTTGGTTAGGACGACTCTGGTTTTTTTTTATCTCTTTGCTAAACTATATACACAAAAAAGTATGCAAGCCAATACATATTGCTCTTTTTCTCCCCTGTGGTGCCAGGGATGAAACCCAGCCCTTATCTATGCTAAGAAGGCATTGTACCCTTGAGCTACACCCCACACCTCAGGGGCCATTCCTAAACCAAACACATTCTGGGTACCAGTACCCAGATCAAGAAATAAAACATTTTTGCCAGGTGTGGTGGCACAGGCCTGTGATTTTAGCATGTGGGAAGCTGAGGCAGGAGGATGGTGTTGAGTTCAGGGCCAGCCTGAGCTACACAATGAGTTCAAGGCCAGCCTGAACTACATGGCAAGACTCTGCCTCAAAAAAACAAAAACAAATCTCCACAGTTAGCATTTGCTGATCTTACATGCAGTAAACCCCTTAACCCAGAAGGCAGTAGTATTACCTCCATTTCACAGGTGAGTAAACCAAGAGGCCAGGTGGGAGATCCGCTACCTTCATGACCCAAGTTCTTCAGGACTTAGCTTCAAAGTCAGGAGGCCCAGACCCGAGGAAGGGGTAGGCAGCTCAAGCAGGCCCCAGCCCGCCCCAGCTTCGTCAGAGCACAGCTGCTCCTGCCAATGCTGACTCCCTCCCCCCTCCCCCTCCCAAGCCGTATGTCAGAACGGGCACCAGGAAGAGGACACCAAGCAGACAAGGCCAGACTCACCCATAGTCACTGAAACCATCGTCTCCCTCGCCTTGACCTTGCTCCCGGGAGCCTGGAAAAGAGTACAGAAGAAGAGAGCCCATGAGCGGCCGCCGTTGCAAGCTTGTGTCCCTCTCTGCTGTCTGCCTATCTGCCTGCCAGAGGAGCATTCCTGGGTTAGGGGCTCACCACCCAGGAATAGCCGAGCAGCTGGCAGGACGTCAGCCGGGGACAGAGCTGCCACCACAGCTATCACTCCGGCCTGGGGTGAGGCCCAGGATAGTAAATGTTCACAGTTCCAATCCCACATACTCCAAAAGTCTGGTGGAACAGAAAGAGGAACCTCCTGTCCTGTCCGAGACTTCCACCATAATTATCCATTCCTTTGCTCATTTACTCAGATACTATTTACTGAGAACCCACTAAGTGTGAGGAAGTTAGGGGTGCCGCGGGGAGCAAAAACAGACCTAGCATACAAGTGGACATAGGGCAGGGCAGACTGAGAGGAAGCATGGAAAGCAAATCACAGTATAATTAAGTGTTAGAAGCCATCAGTGTTATGGCAAAAACCCGAGAGGCCTACGCAGGGAGGGGTGCAATTTCCAATAGGGTGATCAGAGAACACCTAAAATGACAGGTAGAAGCCAGGCGTGGTGCAGCCTCCCACCACTCTGAGAGGCTGAGGCAAGATGGTCATTAGTTCAAGCCCAGTATGGGCAACTTAGCAACTTGGTAAGATCCTGCCTCAAAAAGGGCTGGAAAGTAGCTCAGCATGAAGAGGCCCTGTATTCAATTCCTGGAAGAAAAAAAAAGGGGCAGAGCGGTGTGGAGCAACCAAAAGGGGAACAGCGAGAGCAGAGGTTTAACAGAAGAAGGGCATCCCAGAAGAGGTGGCAAGGCCAGACCCCTGAGACCGCACCTGGCCACACCACCTTGACCCAAACTTCCTCTCTTCTGCTCCTGTCTTTTTCCTCTACTCTGTTCCCCTCACCCAGGCCCCCAATCCAGGGTGCTGAAAAGACCCTGGATTTGAAGCACTGTTCAAGCCCCCCAAAGTCTCAACTCATTTTGAAACTGAGTGTGCAACCCAGCCAAGTTACTTCTCCAGCTGGATGTCGGTGTCCCCTTCTCTGAATCAGGATGACACAAACATCACTCACCTTGCAGACTGCTGTGAGGGTAAGGTCAGTTCTATGGATAAAGGCACTTGAGACAGTGCTTGATGCACACTAAGGAGAGTGGAGAGTAGCCCCTGATCTCATTGCCTGGCCCAACACTCCCTCTCTACCAGGTTCTTTATCTGCCTCCCAGTGTGTTTTGTTTTATTTTGTTTTGTCTTATTTTCTGAGATAGGCTCTATAGTTTTGTTGCCTAGGCTGGCCTCAAACTCCTAGGCTCAAATGATCCTCCTGCTTCAGTCTTCCAAGGAGCTGGGATTCCAAGCACTGTACCCAGCCCACCTCCAATTGGACTCAGAATACCTGGAATGCCTGTTCTACTGTCTTCCAGGCAAGCTCTCTCCCTCTGCTTGTCATCACCTGTTTTGTGACACTTTTTCTAAGTCCCACTCCAAGCCTCTCTCGTGGACCTTAGGTAGTATTTCTCTTATCTTTATCTGGCTTCTCGTGAATCCCTGAGTGATATGCACCACCAAACACATAGTTCACCCTGCTCATACTCTAGAGTCCACTTTCCCTTCTGGATTTATCTGCTGGACAAACATAATATGGCAGGCATCTCTCAAAGAACAGGACATGTAGAGGCCTTTAGGCAGACAGAACAACTCAACGCCAAACACTAATTGCGCCAGACCCACAGCAGGTGTCAGGGTGACGTCGACTATGGACTCACAAGGGATGACTATTATTAGCCCTATTTTAATCAATAAAAACCTGACCCAGTGAGTAACAGTCATTTGCCAAATGTCACATCTAGCAACTGACCTTACTAGGATTCAAAAACAAGTTCTTCTTGATTCTGATGCCCATGGAGTTGCTCCTGTTGAGTGTTTATAAAATGCCAGGAACTAAGAATATACATGTTTCATTCTCACAGCCAGCCTGGGGGGAAAAAGAAAGTAAAAATGAAAAGGGGGAAAAAAACGGTTAAAAACAAAGGAGAGTGTTGGAACCAAAGTCACTAAGTAACAGCAGGGCTAAGACTTAAACTCAGGTCAGCTCAACAGCTATGACTGGTGCTGATTTGGGGATTACTATGAACCAGGCGCTGCTGCGATGTACCACTGAAAGATCTCATTTAACGTTTACCAGGGTCCTTTACATGTTGGTGTTCTTCCCTCACTGCTGCAGAATTTCTACTGTCCTCAATTTCTTCTCTCTGCCATCTCTTTATTGAGACAGAGTCTCCCTATGTTGTTCAAACTGGAATTCAACCGGTGGTGATCTTCTTGCCTCAGCCTACCAAGTGCAGAATTACAGGTATGGGCCACCACACCAGACTCCTCTCTACCATCTTAAAAGCCCATCTCGGGGCTGGGGGTTTAGGTCAGCGGGGGCTGGGGGTTTAGGTCAGCGGCATAAGCGCCTGCCTTACAAGCAGGCAGTCGTGAGTTTGATCCCCGGTACCGATAAAAAAAAAAAAAAAAATTAAAAGCCCATCTCCAGAGGTAACTTTTTAAATAGTTAAAATTAACAAAACAGTAATTTTAAAACGGTAGCTACCAAAGGCACATATCTGTGATAGAAAATTTCAGCCTGTCATTGTCCACTTCTTGGGAAAAAAAAAAAAGAAAATCTCAGCCTGGGCAAACCCTGTCTCAAAATCAAAAAAATAAGGGCAGCATATGGTGACACACATCTGTAACCCCAGCAGCTGAGGAAAGAGGATCACTGCAAGTTCCAGGCCAGCCTGAACTGCAAAGAGACCCCTGTCTCAAAAAACAAAGAAAAACTAACTCCATCTCGCTTCAGTTTGTCCTATCATTCTTGTCACTGTCTGAAGCAGTTGTATAAAATTCTTTTGTATCTTTATTCGATATGAGATGTGATCAAAAATACAGTCAAATGGGGCTGGGGATTTAGCTCAGTGGCATAAGTGCCTGCCTTGCAAGCGTGCGGTTGTGAGTTCGATCCCCAGTACCAATAAAAAATAAAAGTAAAAAAATACAGTGAATGCTGCTGCGAGGTGCCAGCCAAGGGAAAAGCAGGCTTGTGAAATCACTGATGTGCTAGGCTAGATGTGGTAGCACACAATTGTCATTCTAGCACTTGGGAGGCTGAGGCAGGAGGATGGCTGTTAGTTCAAAGGCAGCCTAGACAATATAATGAGACCTTGTTTCAAAACAAAACAAAAAAAAACACTGTGATATGTCTTCGCCCACCTTATTCACTGGTTATGGTACTGCATGACTTCTGGCTTTTCCTCAAAGTCAAAATAACCAAGAAAGGGAAACATTTTGAATCAATTCAGGATATTGAAGCAGCCACAAACCGGACAATAACAACACTCATGAGAAAGGACTTTCAGAATTGCTTCCAAAAGTGGCAGGGAAGAGTGTATTAAAGTAGATAAATGGCAATATTCTTTTAACTATAATAATTTCTGAATTTTTTTTTTGAGACAATGTCTCGCTATGTAACCCAGAATGGCCTCTAACTCAGTTTCCCCATTCCTCAGATTTCAAGCACGTGTCATCTCAGCTAGAAATTTTTCTTTTCTTCCTGGTACTGGGAATCAAACCCAGGGCCTCCCACTTGCCAGGCAGGCTCTGTGCCACTGAGCTACATCCCTGACCCAATTTTTAAAAATTTCAACACACACTATCTTTTTCGATCTTACCCCATATAGTTTGTTATCCCTTCTCCAATCAGTTTTCATTCGCTGTTTACAATTTAATAGACTCTTGGTTCCACTGTATTTTGCTTAAGTTTTCCTTCTTCCCAAAGGAGGCAATGTTAGTCTTCCATTAAGATAGCAATATGAATCTTCCCACTTGAATGAACTGAGGAAACTGCAGCAGTGATTTTCAAGAAAAAGAAAAAATTACAAGACTCAGCAAAACTCGGGCAACAGTAAGTGGCAGCATGTCGATTTCCTCGCTCGGGTTCTAGTTTTCATACTGCTGTTCCTGAGCTTTTCTCCCTTCTGTACTTTCTTGGCATTGCCGGCTAAGCTAATGACTCTTGGAGTCATCATTTTAGTTCCAATCTGTGGAGCTCTTGCTCTGCTACAGGCTCTACATGTAGGTTGCATCAGAATCCATTCATCAAACCTATCAGCCCTGTAAAGAAGAGGAAACTGGGGTCCAGAGAGGTGAAGGCAGAGGCCCATTGCTGCATAGCATAGCTGGGATTTGAACCCAAAGCCACTGGCCTCCAAGCCAACAGTCTCACTCCCGGCGCAGTCATCAATGCTAATAATAATGGGACAGAAACAAGAAGAGCAATAGGTGAAAGCGCTGAACTAGGGGCTGAGACATGCACTTTCATTCAACCCATAAAGAACACACAGTGTGATCCTGACCCCCATTCTACAGAGGAGGTAACTGAGGCTCAGAGAAAGCGATCGCTTGTCTAGATCCCCAGAATGAAGCCCAGACTGTAACTCTAGAGCCTTGGCCACCATCCATCCCCACCACACCCGGCCCGGACTCACCATCTCCAGCCCGATCCTCACCTGGCCCAGCGAGCCCGCGCCCATTCCCATCACTCTCCCACCCTCCCGGTGGCGCCAACTGTCAGACACTCCTCCCTCGACCCCGCACCCACCCCGGAAGCTCCCTCTCACCGCCGGAAGCCGGACGAACCCGCCCGCGGCCGCTCTAGCCCACCAGACGGCCCCAGCGAGAGTGCTGCGGCGGGTCACGTGACCACACGCAGTCTCGCTCTGCCTCTCAAAAGTGTTTCCTCCGCCTAGCGGAGGCGGGACGCATGGCCAGTAAGAAAGGCTCAGGCCGGGCCCCGCCTGCCAGCAATCTAGCTGGAGTGCGCCTGCGCGCAGTGGGGGAAGGAAGGCGGGGCTGGAGCCTAGGAGGTTTGCTCTGGGACCGTACCGGAGTGGGAGACCTGGAGCGCAGGTACTGTGTGAGCGGGAGGCGCCGCGCGTCGTCTGCACTCCCAGTGTTGTTGCTCTCTCGTCTCAACGCGTCCGCCTGTTTTGTCGCCCTTGGTCCATTTATGTCGCTCATTTCTCCTCTTAAGTCGTATCCCGCTTAACCTGTCAGCACCCTCTTCTGTTGTCAACACCCTCCTTATGTCGCCGTCAACCCGTTAAAATCGCCTAGGTTCCCAGCACCCCCTCACTGCCACCGTTTGCGCAATCTCCCCTCTTTAAGTCGTCACCGACTTATCTCACCCTCTTCGTCTTTCTTGTCATTTCTCCTTCATGAAATCTCTGCTAAATCGTCCTTGTTCCCCTCTCTGCACACCTATCGCCTCTTCTTCCCTTCGATCGCACTCACACTCTCCATTTGTCATTTATTGCTCCTGTATCTCCGTTGCTCCCCCGTTACCATCGCTCCTTGCACAGTCACCGTCCTTCTGTGCCTCATGCCCACGTTTTCCCTTGTGAGGAGCCATGCTGCTTTCCAGCGGCTTTTCTTCCTTCCAGGTCTCCATCCCTGTCAGGTTTCACGTACTCCCGCAGAACAGGGACTAGAGCCCATTCCCTGGGCAGTGCCAGCATCCAGCACCACCTCTAAACTTCAGGGTAACCTTGGCCACCTGCACAAGCCTCTCCCCATCCCAGCTTCCTCATCTGTAAAATGTACACTAGAACACACATGTCCGGATGAGTGTGAAGATTCTGCTAATTTATTTTTGTCACATGCTCATCTTGGCCTGCCATTTGGGGCTAATATTGTTATTAAACATATCACTCTCACCCAGTCATCTTCCTCGATCACTTCCTCACCATGTCTCCCCAGCCCCCACCTGCACTCAACAGTCCCCTGGCATCACACTCCACATTGGCACAACACCCTTTGCCACAGCAGTTGCAACACCCCCTGCGAGAGCATTTGCAACACCCCACAATCTCCAAGTTACCAGTATCTCTGCCACTAGTCACACCATAGTGACCCATTGGCTATCATGAAGCTTGTTTTGTAAACACTTTATCTTGTTAGATTGAATCACACATATACCTCTATCCCCAAATAAGAGCTAGGTTGTGTGGGAGTCGAGGTCTTGGATGGGGAAGCCATAGGTAGTTTAGACTCAGATCTTCCTGGACGTTTAAAATTGGGAGTACAGGGTGACAAAGCAGGGCCCCTACGCTTCAGACTTCAGCAGTCTCGATTCCTCAAGTGGAGAGGTATCTTATTCACTCAGCTTATTTTAGGCATTTTGGAACAGTGGTTAGTGATGTGTGCCTCAAGACTGGAACACACACACACACACACACACACACACACACAAAGTGGACCGCTCTAGTTCCAATCTTGGTTTCTAGTACTTAAAAGAGCTGCATGACCCTGCAAATATGGCTTAACCTCCCTGTGCCTCACTTAGCATATCTGCAGTGTGGCAATGAAGACACAAGTTATTCATTCAATATGTATTTTTTTTCTGGTACCAAAAACTCACGATCTTGCACTTACCAAGCAAGCTCTTGAGCCGCTGAGCTAAATCCCCAGCCCCTCAACATGTATTTCTTAAGCATGTACTAATGTGTTCCCCACTGTTGTAGGCACTGTAGACAAATCAGTTAACAAAACAGAAATCCCTGCCCTTACAGGGTTTACATTCTAGTTGATCTAAGACATAGGGAATAAACATTGTATGTAGGTGAGTAAATTATCTGACGTGTTAGAAGGGGGATGCATAATGCACAATCAAGATTGTTTGTGGTACAAGGCATTGAACTCAGCGCCTCGAGCATACTAGGCAAGTATTCTTTCACTAAGCTTCATTTCTAGCCTGTAGTTCTAAGAAAGGGAGTCAGAGAAGGTATTCTGAGAAGACAACTGACTAAAGACTAGTATGAGTAGAAAGAGAGGTGTGGCTATTTGGGGGAAGGGCATTGTAGGCAGAGAAAACAAATGCAGAGGGCTGGGACTGGAGCATGCTTGGAATATTTAAGGACTAGCAAAGAAGCTAGTAGGAAGAGAGATGGGGTGTCATGCCTGCTGGAGAAGACTGGCTTTTCCTCTGAGTGAGGAAAGAGCCACAGGAAGGTTTGGAGCAGAAGGGAGGTAGAACCAAATGTGACCTGAAGCCATCATGCCAAGTGGTGGCAGCTCCAGAACTATCCAGAATGGATTGGGAAGGATAAGGTGTTGCTGGGTTGTTTTTTTGTTTGTTTTTGTTGTTGTTTTGTTTTGTTTTTTGAGAGACCAAAGCCACCCCTGGTTTCGAGGCTTTGAGGGAGCTGTGGAGCTCCAGCTCATAGACAGGACAGACAGGAGTAAGATGTATCTGTTCCTGACATCCTGCTTTCAAATTCTGGCTCACCCTTTCCTGGCTGTGTCCTCTTATACCTCCCTGGGTTTGAGTTGTTTTGTTTTGGCTTTTTGCGGTACTGGGGATTGAATCAAGAGCTTTGCACATGCCAGGCAAGTACTGAACTACATCCCCAGCCTGCATTAAATTTTGAAACAGTGCCTCTTAAATTGCTCAGGCTGTCACTGAACACTTGATCCTCCTGTCAGCCTCCCAAATCACTGGATTACAGGCATGTGCTACTGTGCCCAGCTGGTGTTTTTTTTTTTTTTAATTTGCTCATGAGTTGGTTCAGCAGTGTCCCATCCTGGGACAGAACTGAATTTGGGTTTCAAAATTCCATCTAAGCAACCTGAGCAAGTGATGTCCTTGTGATCTCTTCTCTGAGAAGCAGGGATTGTAATACTCCTTACCCCAGACTAATCCTGTTGTTATCTTTTTTGTTTGTTTGTTTGTTTTTGCTTTGTTTTGTCTTTTTCTTTTTTGGGACCAGGACTCACGACCACATACTTGCAAGGCAGGCACTTATGCCACTGAACTAAATCCCCAGCACCTCCTGTTGTTATCTTTGAGCAAGAACTTCATCCATTTTCAGCCTTGACACTACTGTCCCCTACTTTATTTTTCCCTAAGATATGTACCATATATGTCTCTCCCTTGTGGTCCTCCCATAGCTGTCATCTTTAGAGGGATTGGGGGGCAGCAGTACTGGGGATTAAACTACATATGTCACCAGCTGTTTTTTCTTTTCAGGCACGGGTTCATTAAGTTGTACAGACTGGGCTGGAGTTCGCAGTCCTCTGCCTCAGCTTTCCAGAGTTCGGCAATTCTGTACATGTGCCACTGGGCCCAACTTTTCCCTGTTCTGTGCTGCATCCTGTGTTTCTAGACCAGGGCTTATCAGTAGTGAGTGACCAGCAAGTTTACCTGAATGGGCCATGAATGAACTGGCTACTGAGAACACAGGGGTGACTCAAACACACTGGCTCTGCCCTCCTGGGGCTCACAGCCCAGGGCAAAGACAGACCCATCCCCAGGCAGAGACAACCCAGAGGTAGGGGCTGGGTTAAGGGAGGCACAGGTTGATGGGGTAGGATGGGGTTCGGGGTATGGGAGATACCAGAGAACATGGGGCACCAGAGAACATGACTTAAAAGCCTGGGGTACAGGACTTCCTGGAGAAGGTGACACAGAGCTAAAGGGATACGGACGGCATGGGAAGGAGGGAATGGTGTGCTGGACAGGAGCAGCTATGAGAGATCTGGTGACAAATGTGTGGTTTTGATTTAAGGAACTGAAAGATATTCACTGTGGCCAGAGGTAGAGCATAAAGGTGAATCAAGGAGTCCCTGGCAGAGTTGGGGAGGGGTAACTTAAGGCCTTGGGAGCACAGTGGGAAACCGGGACATTGTTCTTAGGACACTGGGGAGCACAGAGGGTTTGAACAGGAGATGGGAGGGGCTGGAAGCCTTGCACAAAAGCTAAGCAGAGGGAAGGAGGAGAGGCCAGGTTGGAGCTGGGAGAGGGACAAGTGAGACAGATTCCCAGAGACCAGCAAGACAAGTCGTGGGGGTCCCGAACACACCTGGGACTGAAGGAATCAAGGAAGGCTTCCTGGAGGAGTGGCACCCAGGCAGAGAATTGAAGGATGAGGGGGACAGCCCTGGAGGAGGAGCTGGCTTAGGAGAGATGTTATGGAGAGCTGGGGACATGGTGGTTATGAGGAGTCCAGGGACAGCTCTGAGCAGGGCCTAGAGGGCCACAGCACCTCTGGAGCTGGATTTCAGAGAGACCTCAGATCTAAAAACAGGGCTTTGGGTCCAGAAAGGGGAACCAAAGCTATAATAGTAGGTGAGGGGCCACAGGGGCTGCCCCACATCAGGCCACGAGTACACTTCATCCAGGCATGGTGGTGTGTGCACATGATCCCCGGTCCTTAGGAGCTTGAAGCAAGAGAACCACAAATTCATTTCTAATCTGGGAAACCTAGAAAGACTGCCTTTTAAAAGTTTAAAACGGTGGCTGAGGGCTGGGGATTTAGCTCAATGACATAAGCACCTACCTGGCAAAGGCAAGGTCAGGAGTTTGATCCCCAGTACAAAAAAAAAAACAGTGGCCTGGTGTGGTGGCCCATGTCTGTAATCTTGGCAGGAGAGGCTGAGGCAGTCAGATCACCATGAGTTTGAGGCTATATAGGCAGCCTGAACTGCCTGTTGAGACCCTGTCAAAAAACAAAACCAAAAAAACAAAAGGCTAAAGTGGGCTGGGGATATAGCTCAGCACTCCCTGTGTTGAGTACTCAGTATCACACACATAAACAAAAAGAGAGAAAG